GGCTGCAAACGCAACAAAAATATGAGGAATATAAAGCAGTATTTCCAAATAAAATCCAAAGTGTCATTAAACATCTATGCCAGGCACTGATAATGCATTTTGGCTACATAACTGCACAAACAATTGATGATACGAATACACTCGTCTTCTGTGGCGCATGGTTGTTTTATTGAGGTCCTAAGCTAAAGCTCCAAGTCCACCATCTGTACAAGAGCGGTGTTCACAGCTAGGACTACATCCAATACATACCCTGCTTGATTCCAGCGCATGAGCCACCACAGAACCAGCAGTGATTTAAAAACATGCACCGCCGCGAACTCCTTCCCCTCAAACCGGCAAAAAAAATTGCCAAGATATTCGAACGAGAAGCAGTAATCCTCGCCTCCATTCCCGTTTGGTCAGGTTTGGTTTCCCAACAAGATATGTTCGATCTCCACTGAGGGTAGGAAACGGGTGCACAGGAGTTGCCGTGACCCGTACGGGCTGCAATGAGATTTCGTAATAATTGTCTAGCAAAGCCTATCATTGGCGATGCATTTTTCGATATAATAGTGCCGTCGTGATGGTTGCTGGCTGAGTTTCCACGCTGGGAAGTGTTCGAAGGCCGGATCTGGCTGCGGCGTCTGCTTCTGCTTCCTCATTTCGATGTTTTCCCTAGTGCCCTGGCACCCACTTTATTCTTACCTGAGCTAGCCCAGATAGTTCGCGAAATTTGCGTACTTCCTCGTAGCTGGTCAAGGACCTGCCCGTGCTCAGTGCATTTATTGCTTGACGACATCCATCAACGCATTAACGAACTGCGTCTCTTTGGAGTGTGTCACCGAGAAATATAGACTATACTTTTGTGACTCAATCAGACCACGTACCATTGCACCATCTAACCATTAGCATGTATCGAGTGTCGCCTGTAGCCTGCTCTTATACAGAGGCTACGCACAAAGCTCTTCCCTGACAAGTAATCCATCCCAAATGTCTACCTAGCCACATTCATGTCCTGTGGATTTTCAATTTTCCGTAAGAGTGGATCGGACGGCTAGAGGCCAAGTCAACGATAAGTTTGGGAACCGAAATTTGGATGGACTAGGTCATGGTCGGAGAAAATCTTGTTTGCAGTTAAGGATTCGAGTGGGTGGGAGTCTTGAATCAGTGCCTCATGGGCCAGCATTCTCTACATTATTAAACTTGAACTTGGCTTGAGGGGGATTTTCCGCCGCTGGGTGCGTGGTGGATACCGCTGACGGGTGCTCTAATTTCCTCTTTTACTGTACCGCTTTGGCGACACACGTGAGGCTGAAGGCTTTGTACTTGTATACACTTTGTTAGTTACATAAATGGATACAGTTTACAGCATCTCGACTGAAGTGTCATTATTAATTGGAACATTACAGTTTTGACACAGGAATGCCATCCCGGATCTTACGATGCTGAATTTGAAAATACTCATGTCGCCACACCTTCAGTACCTCAGAATGAATCGCCCTTACGTAGGTGATGGCATGTTTTCCGGGCGACTGTGTATGCTCGAGAAGCAGCCCCTCTTTACCCCCTACAACGTTGTGGCCAAAGAGCGTCGGGCTGGTTTGGGCTCCCAGACATGACGAAAAGCTCGTTCTACCCACATGACCGGATTTTGCACCTGTCGAGCTTTGGTCGGTCTGAGGGAGGAGACACTCTTCCCTATCATTGCGCAGCGGCCTTGCCTCTGCAAGGGCTCGGCTTCCAAGCGCCCGAGCCCTTCGTATTTTCACCGCCTCTAAACCCCTGCTACTTTCTTGATCCCAGTAGAATTCAGTCGTACCCTCAGCTTACTATGGACCTGCGGAATCCAAACTCTGGTGGCCTCATATTCTTGTCAACACCCCTGGTTCTTCCACACTGCCAGTCCTTGATTTCGTCAGAACTGACATCCGCAGGGTATAGTTCAGTGGGAGTGGAAAGGATGGATTCCCGTCGAGAAAATGTAGTGAGTTACGGCCGTTAAATTGGTAACAAAAACATGATACCCAAATACCTCAAGGTTCAACCATGAGGGACATACGAGCCGATGCAGCTTTCAAAGGTCTGGGGGCTAAATTTCCGAGAGAAGATATGCAGGATAACTCTCTAACATTACCAGTGAATCGAAGACTCTATGCAGCCTGCCCCATGTCTATATTCTCGTCCCGAGGCACGGTACTGGCCGCCGGGTGGTTTAGTCCGTGGATGACAGATTTTCCAATCTCAGTCTCCCGAACTTGTCGAGGATAAGTAGCCGATGGTCAATGTACTGCGGATTACCCCACAGAGTAAGGATACGGATGAGGTGTCTGATGAGCCCTTGAGGTGAAGATCGACGGGACCAAGTGCCAGACTACTTCTCGCAACTGGCGGAGCCAACGCTCGCTGGTTAAGCGATACGCCAAAAAGGGGCTTTCGTGCGAAAAGCGTCTGCACATCGCTAGACTTTACCCCTCTGAACTGCAGGTGTGTGAGCGGTTATCCTCCGTATCGTCGCCGGCTGCACTGCGTCTAAATTTGGTATTTTCCTTTCCATTGCATCTTGGCTCTCTAGAAGAATGCTTCAGCCTGATAATGGACCGTAGGCGTCATCTCATCATGCAGTAACTTTTCGAGAACCATTCAATGATTCTGGCGTCTTTTGGATTTTTAGCGGTTGAAATTATTCTCAATCTATGGCTCTGAGGTCCCCAATTAAACTGACTGCGTCGTGTGACCTGAATGTCTCCGGCCCAGAGACTCGAATAACAGTAGCCATCGGTTGCGACGGGTAAAGCGGACGTAGGGAGTGATATGTTTGTATCTTTCTTCATGTCAGGCTACACAAGGTGCAAATACTACGCTTTGGAAGCTCGTGAGACGGACCACCCTTTTTCCGACTCCGGCCCGACTACCGTAGTGAACGAGGGGAACATGACTCGCGCCCTCCGCCCAAGAGACTTTCGGCCTTTGGCCGGATGTGGATCCAGCTGCGGAAATCTGGCCGATAATTCCCTGCTCCGCGATGCTACGATAACCAGTCATGACTACGAGAGTTGTGAAGCTGGGAGACAAGGGAGGATCCGCCGATCCTTGCCTCCGTCATGGGATAAGAGGTCCGCTCGCTTGCTGGGTAGCCCATTCTGCTCAGCTAGGCCTTCGCCTGGTATGCGACACAGCTCTATCGACTGGCCCACAGCTGCAGCATCATGCTACCTAGGCGCTAGTCATGATCAGCGACCAACGCTTCGGAATTATTACTCGAAGCGCATGTAACCTGCGTCAATTTTTTGGGTCCTCTTCGACCGAGCCGTGTCTATAGGGCATCTTCGAGTCCACTGTTGTGGATAATTGTCTCTGCGGTCCGAGGTAACTCGAAAACTACTGGCTATCTTCGCGAGCAATGCCGTCTGGCCCTTCGAGATAAGGAACACATGTAGTCATACTCACCTCAATATCCTATTTCTGACTGCAACTAGTCAGCGAGTTGTTTCAATGTGGATTATCACCTTCAACATCACATCCGTAGATATAGAAAAAAAACTACCCGTCTATTTCTCTGGAACCAATACTTTAATGTTCCACATCATACCGTCCGGTAATAGATGCTGTCACACCACAATTATCTAAGAACCCTTATGAACTTTAGTCTGCCAGCCGATACCATATAAGACTATTCCAAATTCGCGAGTTTGTTGAGATGACCAAAGTTCTCGCGTCGTGAAAATGATCCAAGCTGATGCTTTCACAACTGGACATTCTTTATTCGTTTAAATTCAGATCTTGAAGTTATGACCTAGCGCCTTGAAACTTTTTGCATAGAGGAAGACATGGACATGCACAGACTTTGTCTTGGAATTTTGAGTGCATCATTGGTGCCATGACCATACTAATTTTCAAGAGGAGCCCTGACAGCCAGTCGCAGTTTACTAGAGACCCCCTGCTAGTTACAAGCTCAGTTGGGGGACGGGGATACAAACGTAGCGTCGTAGCTGCTCACATGTTTGAGGTAATGAAGTGACATCAGGCAGCTGAAGTGAAGCCAAATCAAGTAAACCATTTACGCGAGGTGAAAATCATTTAGGGTATGCAAATTTTAATCACAATGAATTGCTATCGAATATTATCAAGTACAATTAGAACTAACGCTGATATTAGGGGCCATAAGCTTTCTCGTTCCCATGCCCATCACTGTGCAGCATAAAATCGCACATACGTACACTGACCCAACTTCGTCTTCGCCCTGCATGAACAAATCTCTAAGCCATTTAGTATTAATCAACTGGACCAAAAGCAAGTAATATGAAATCGAGTGATTCTGAGTAGCTTCGTACTTCATACTTTGATCTTTCAAATTTACACTGATGGCAGTAGTAAATTCGGACATGTTTGGCCTAATGTTTAATTCTCTTTTGATTCCATCCTGACCGTTCATGCAATCACAACTCTTGAGCGAAAATTGCGGGGACTTAATAGACAAATGCTGTGATTTGAACATCTTGGAGGGATGGCTTTACCCATTTTAGATGACTTGAGATAAGGGTGAAGAGTTGAAATAGATGATTTCTGCATGATTCTCCAGATCCTGGGAAATCGCGGCATAGCAGGACCAGTGTAACCTGTGCTGGCCCTTAAAAGGTCCTTGTAGGTACCACGGTGTGGCCATTAAAAATCGGCGTGCCGTTCGAGAAGTATCTGTTGGCTGAAGAAACACACTGAGTGAGTTATATTGTGCCAATTTTAACCATTCTCGAGCCATGTAAAAATCAGGAACTATTTCATTCCGAGCAAAAGTAGCAGATCATAGAGTAAATTAGTCGGTTGAGCACACAAACATGCGTATTTTGTACACTATTCTGCGAAAGGGTTGAATTGCCACAAGTCAGATTTAGATGTAGTGGCTTAAAAACTTTGACGTTCGTCTTGATGTCTCCATCTCAGATGCTTGTGTTGGCTTCTACCTGGATCCATATGGAGAAGCCGACCACTGAATTGGAATTATATTAATTTTGTTAAAGTCAAAATTACTTTCTTATACTAGGTTAAAGTAGGAGTTAGCAGTTACATTTGAAACCGAATTCGTCAATTATGGGCGTAGAGACCGTAATTTATTGTGAATGATGACTTACTACCTATGGTTACTAGTGTACACTCTAGCGGGGTCCACATTATCAGTAGCGACAACACCACGATCGGCATACTTTCGACGTGGTTCTACTGTACCTCCAGCTTTTGCGGCACAAGAAGTAATTTGGGCTGGAAGGACATGTGGAGTTCCACGCATACGGGCGGGTTTTTCATCTTCCTCGGGACAAGGTTGAGCTACGGTAGCTTGTGCCGCAGCTTGTGCATTCTTCTGGTACTTGTACACGGTCCAGTCAAATACATAGTCGTATTGGTACCCTTCCCGGACGAACAAGTCTCGGAAGATCTTCCGAAGGTATGAGTAGTCAGGTTTGTCATCGAAGCGAAGGGAGCGAGTGTAGTTTAGGTAGACTGCAAACTCGGTGGGGAAGCCACGACATAGCGATTCAGTCGGGGTTGTCATCTTCTTTTCCATTATTCGGTCATACTTTTGTTTCTTGGTTGCAGCTTTTAATCCTTGCCAGGGTAGAGAACCACGGCAGAAGTACAGCATTACATAGCCTAGCGATTCCATATCATCGCGACGAGATTGCTCTACCACAAAGTTATTCATATTCAGTTAAAAAGTAAAACTACTCACCGACACCCAGGTGGGTATTTATGGAAGCATAACGGGCTGTGCCGGTCAGGTTTTTGTTCTCTCGGTAGGGTATGTGGAAGTGGGATTTAGGGTCTCGGTATTTTTTAGCAAGACCAAAGTCAATCACGTTGACCTGGTTTCCCCTTTTACCAATTCCCATGAGAAAGTTGTCAGGCTTGATATCGCGGTGAATAAAAGACTTGGCATGAATGTATTCGACGCGGGAAATAAGCTGATCGGCTAAGAGGAGTACCGTCTTGAGCGAAAACTTGCGGTTACAAAAGTTGAATAGATCCTCTAAGCTGGGGCCGAGGAGATCGAGAACCATGGCGTTGTAGTCGCATTCGGTTCCAAACCAGCGTACAAAAGGTATTCCAACTCCTCCTGCAAGGGATTTGTAGACTCTAGCCTCATATTCTAACTGTGGATGCTTTGCCTTGACTGATTCTAGTTTAATGGCAATTTCTTCTCCAGAAATTATATTTGTTCCAAGGTAAATGTCTCCAAATGATCCACTACCTATCTTTCTGCCTATACGGTATTTATTACCGACGCGTAGATCCTATTTTTTTCAAGTTAGCACCCGGGCGTACACTTAATTGATGGTATTAATTTTTCCGTTGAACAGCTGCTAATCATGAGATATAATCCAAGTTAAGACATGAAAGTCTGAGGTTAAGCCTTCCACGTTGGATAGGGGAGAGCGAATTACCATAGTAGCCATTTTCGGTATTATAATTTATACCGTCTCGCGCTTTGTTGTGGACTTCAGGTTAAAGGATACAGTCTGGATAACTTTACTAGCTGGAAACCAAAATGGGCGATTGCTGTAGAAGGCGTACACACTGGTAATTCTAAAGTTACTCGGTTAGATTTTTGTGTAGAAAACTGGCAGCAATAAAACAGAGATAATCAGGACTGAATTTGATGGAATGATTGGTTGGCAACATCAAATTATGGTGGAATTTACTTACTGTCTTGAGAGGAGATCGATTGTACGTCGTCTGTTTAGTAACTGAACAGAAAACGCTATCCCACAAATGGAGGCAATGAATTGATCAACTCTCGGTTACCTTACTAAGGAAGGTCTAAATATTGATGAACAAGGGAAATATCAACAAGAGAATTTGGTTGTGGATGGGAGGGAGACTTGGTTCAGAATGAAAGCTGATGAGGAAGTGGGGATAAAGTAGTGACGGAAGAAAGTGATTGTGAAACCTGGAAGAACAAGGAACTCAATTGCGATGGTTTTCGCTTAATGCGCCACTAGCAGCTCATTTTAAAATTCAGGCAAAAAGTGGGTGACGAAGCGGAAGAGACTGACAGCTCGACTCGGCCGTGCAAAGCCTTAGGCCTTAACAGATCAGGTTGACAGAGCCGTGCGGGATAGACGGCGGGCTCTGTATTGCAAAGCCTCATTGGTCAGCAACATCATTTATCCTAAGTCGGGAGATGGGCCAGATGGGATCTGTAAGGCATGCTCTCCTTGCAACCCAACCCAAAACACATTACGCCGACCTGAGAGTAGCTTGGCAAGGCCGACGGCTAAAGACAACCAACAACAGAAAAGTTAAACATGTTCAGAGCAGCTTGGGAGGTGTGAGGATTAATTGGATACCATGCCGCATCTCACATTTTTCCTCGAGTGCGGGGGTGTCAGACGTCGTTGCTTCCTAACCACCTGGCATTCCGCTGACATGAATGCTGCAAACCATCAATCATCAGACTAAAACAGGGGTCTGTGAATGGCCTCCGTTTCAGATGCACAATGCCGAGTGGCTGCGCGATTAAAACAACCGGAGCCTATTGCAGGGCCAGCCAAGCAGCTAGTCCGTTCATTTACCATCTCCCACGGCTAATACCAACGTTATACTACACGACACTTACCTGTGCTCCGCCACCCCGTCCATTTAGGCACGACAACCTGGTCTACACACCTTCATTTCGTCTAGGCAATATTTTGTTACGATTCGATGACGCCGATCACGCTTCCAGCAAACCGTATCCGTTGCCACTGCAAAGCCAACCAATCTACTTGGACTCCCCAGCTCAGCCGCTTCTCTCCTAGCCAATGACTCGTCAGGCGTGAACCAATTTTGATCTGTACACGATCCCTACTGGCAACAGCCGACAGACTTTTCCATGCCCGCTTGCCTTACTACGTCCAGGATGGAATGAATTTTTCTTCACATGATATGGTAGTGTCTAGCTCCGGCTCAACAACAGCCGTGAGTATTGCATGTCATAGGGCAGGGTCGCTTTCGGGCTTCGGGCCAGATCTGTGCATGAACTCTTGGTCTGACTTGGGCAATTATTTGGCTTGGATGCATAGCTGATTCCATACAGTTCAAGACAGGCTTATACAACTGTTACCGCTGGCCGAGGGCAAAAGTAGAAGCTAACACCAGTATCTAAGATCTTTATGACTTTGGCAGATTTGGCTAACCCTCATGGACAAGGAGATCACCAATCTTTTCAAGTATTGTGGCTGGGTGTCAAGTATAGTTATAATGACAATGTAAGAGAGGCATTAGGTCAAGATATTTGTTGGTGATTATGGGAGCGAACCCCTTGCCTCTATCAACCGGTAGTTGGTGATGTGAGATTTGACCGGCCATCATCCCTACTGCTCGCTCGCCCAGCCACGACGATTGTCATCCGGTACTCTGCGAACGTCTAGATCGGCCCTGCCGTGCCGACCGCACAATAATAATTTCAATTTTTTTAAATTGTTTTTGCATCAGATTTCAATTGCGTATGCAGCTATCTTGCTATGACACAATATCAAATAAAAGTACAGAATAGACGATTCAACGTAAAGGAAGAGTACTCATGCCTCGGATTTCATTTTCAAGTACCACTGCGAAGTTATGGCGGCTTTTTTTTCACTCCAATTCAATAATTTCAATTAGAGGTGACCGTGAGGGAAGACTTGAGTCATTAATTCGCATCGCAACCAAATCCTTTAAAGTCATTAGATAGCCACGATAAGGATATAGGAAATTCCATCCCTATCTTCAGGCGGGATTTATTTTGTACGCGTCACTGCAAAGTCCAGAATGATCAGCTATTGAGAGAGGATAGACTCCCTCGACGCTCCCAACTTGTCACTCCTCTACAGATAGATCATTTTTGAAGATCCAGGCCAATCCCAACCCTATGCCACCCTGATGGAAGAGAGAGTCCTCTCGTAAAGCTCCAAATTCGAGCTAGTAAATAGTTCTCACACATGTGAGCTTTTTTCAGCTTCGTAGAATGGAGGTTATTCTCTACCAGTAACAAGTCGTTAGAAGACAAGGGCGCCTGTCTAACCTTAGGTGAGCGTTGGAGACACCACTGGGCCAAATGATGCGGATGAGAATGATTAGAGTCCAGAGCAATCAGGAAGACATGATTTTCATGCTGCTCTTATGGCGGGCTCAAGGGCTGCCGTGGTCAATCAATTGGGATTCTCACCTTCAGAGCTGAAGGTTAGTGTTCGATTCACGGTGGTTGCGCGGTAGTCAGGGATACTCTGTAGATAATTATCTCAAAGGCGCGAGCCTTAAAATCCACGGCAACATAATTGACATGTCTGAAATCAACCCTTGGGAAATGTAGACGGAGTCTATAATAATAGCTCTAGAAATCCTGTATAGTCCTAAACTTAGCAGGTAATTTAATTTGATCCCAGTCTTGAGGTGGGTACAGGCCGTTCAGGCTCAATGAGAGCTGTACTGATCTTCAATTTCAAACTGTGGACCGGTTGCCGGTTTAATCGGCTACACCGGGCGTAGATACAGTGCCGGTTGTATTGCCCCGTACATTTACTTGGCCTGAAATAGCCATTCAGACCAAGATCAGGAAAACAGGCATCACCTCGGACTAATCTCCACTAGCCAGGGCCACTTGGCGTGCACCTTTGAGACTGGCCATAAATAAACTTGGGTGTTTCACCTTCTCCTAGCCCTGCTTTTCATGACTACAGTCGCACTGAACGGTTGATGGCTACATCGAAAGGCCCGTGCAATATGAATCCGCTTAACGTTGGGCAGGGGGCCCGGATAACGCGGTGCTATGCCATCTAGGCCAGTCATCCTGGGAGGGCCTGAATGGGGCAAGTGTCATCAACCTTCGGGATAAAAGAAAATCGCTTCAAAGCCGGCAAAGACCCGAGACTAAGTCACGATAAATGGTTTGAATGAGGGTATTCGTCACAAAGGCTGTCGGGAGGAGTGGTGATGGCAAGTTTCTGGTCGAATCCCGGACCTGTAGAGATTTCACGGCTGCAAAGCCCAGTGAATTCAGACATCTACACCACAAACATGAGCCTCAGAGAGGCTCAAACCGGTCTGATGATGGTGTTTCAACAACTAACGACCTTCAAAATTATCATAGTTCCTGGATATACTCACCTCGCCATCATCTCCACAATCTAGAAATTAGGGGTAAGGTCTAAGATACAAGTAGACATCTATCTCTCGGCAACTGCCGCGCGCGCTATGAAAGTACAGTCGAATTACCAATCGCAATTGCGTTAAAACGTTGGCCATGGGTACCGCCGCCTACCAATTAGCTACGATGTTTCGATGGTACGTCAACTACAGCATTCTACAAATCCAAAGACATCGGTACCTCAGTCTTGAGACCTTTGCAAATTCAGTCCCCACGGCTAGAGATACGCTAATGATAAGGCATGATCGGAGAGATAGACGGCTTGTCAAGCTCTGAGATGGCAAATCTAGCGTGATTTCGAGGAAGCTAGAATGAAGAACCAAAATGGTTGTGAGACTTAGCATACCTTCAATGAATAAAACGGCTTTGGACGGCGAGAGGAGATGCTGGGACGATGCAAAGCTGAGACGGAACGAAAAAGGAAAAAGAAAGGTTGGAGAGCTATCAAGGGCTCGGCCGCATTGTGGTAGAGGCTGAGGAGAAATTTACGCTTCACCGCGACAAAGTCGGGTACAAATAACAGTCGGACTTGACATGAGTCAACACATTGGCCAAGTCTAAGGCGGTCCAGTCATTTGGGCGGCACGAGGCTTATTGTACTTACAAGATAGTCAACCTGGTCCAGCATGGCGCCCTCGGCACTCGATCTCTGACAGCGGCGCGGAGTCTGCCTATTATCTAGAATACTCACAAATGTACGTACAAATGGGACAGCAAACGCATTATCGAATAAACCGAGACATTGAAGCTTCTTGTGCATCGATACTAGTAACAAAGTTTGCCTGATTTGTGTGCGTATAAATATTTCGGAGAGTCAGGAGTTGGAAGGATTGGGGCTATTAAGTTGGCTACCTTCTCGATACATCCGCAACCACAAATTAAATTCTTAGTTTCACCTCGGTAATCACTGGGATGAGTGCGTAATCAGTATTCCTAGGGTCATAGGCAGGAAGATGAAAGCCCTCTATAATCTTTCAGGTTCTATTGACACTGAGTGATTTTTTGGCATCGTGCTAGCTCACAACACAACCATAGGTTCAGGAGACTATTTTCAACACCTGCCAGTGGTGTCCCCCACGAACCTCCAGCTCTCACCGTAGACTCTGCAGAGCCGAAACTGAGTAACAAGGTCCTTATTCCGATGGGAGCTCCCAGTCGCTTTTGCAGTCTGTGTGGTCATCAACAATCCGCATATCTCCCTATCACCATTACCACGAAGCTAACCACGATCAAATCAGATGGTAGCATCGAAGCCCTTCTCATAACCCACCCTTGATCATAGAGGATAAG